GGCTGTGAGATGCCAATAAATGGAAATCAGTCTTTATGTTTTTATAATCCTTATATGGTCTTTAAATCATAACTAAAAAGAAATATAATGCTTTCATAGTATTGTGGATCACATGCTGCTATGAGACTCCTTTGGAAACAAAGGACATTTTTACACATGCTCCGGATGGGGGGTACTTTAATTAGAGCAGCTCTCAGAGCTTCCCTACTTAAAGCACCTGCAGTATCCCAGCACTTAAACATGGAGGCAGGGGCACTTTAACTAAAGCTCACCAAATTAATTTTAAAGCGTCCCTACCACCATTTGAAGTGCAGGGATGCTAATATGTGGGATGTGGAGGCTGCTGAAGTGCAGTAATTAGCATGCTGCAGAAGACTTGATTAATCGAGTCTACTCTGTCACGCTGTAATTACAGTGCATTAAAGCAGGCTCCCCACACATGTACAGGAACCCAAATTCAACTCCTACAAGTAATGATGTTATTTTAGAAAGCCCAAAGCTGTTGGGGATCCTTAGTTTTCCTTAAACAATAAATCTTTCCAGTTGTCACGTGCTCCACAAGGCAAGGGCAGAAAAAATTGTGTGTGTGAGTGTGTGTACACACACATTTTTTTCTTTGCCTTGTGAAGCGTGTGGCAGCTAGAATATATATTTAATCAAAAAATCAGGATTCATAGATTGTAAGGCCAAAAGGGACCTCGGAAAATCATTGGGTCCAGGCCCCCTGCACTAAGCAGGAAAGACAACTGGACGTCAGGTGACCCCAGCAAGGTGACTCTCCAGTCTCCTCTTGAAGATTTTCAGGGTAGGTGATTGCATCACCTCTGGAGGGAGTTTATTCTACAGTCTGCACACCCTGGCTGTGAAGTTTTTCCTAGTGTTAAGCCTGAAATGGTCTTCCAAGAGTTTGTGGCCATTACTCCTGGTTTTTGCCAAGGGTGTCCTGGTGAACAGCTGTTTGCTGAGCCCTTGATGTATTCTCCTGATGTAGCAGTAAGCTGCTGCCAAGTCCCCTCTCAGCCTTCTCTTTTTTAGGCAGAAGAAACACAAGTCCCTCAGCCTCTCCTCATGCTTTGCCATGCAAGTCCCTAATCATACAGGTGGCTCTTCTCTGGACTTGCTCAAGCTTTTCCATGTCCTTGTTGAAGTGCAGAACTAGAAAACTGCTGGTTGTAGCCATGTTGGTCTAAGGACATGGGCAGACAAGGTTCTTTGGGTAAATATGACATCTTTTATTAGGACAACTAAATAGTTGGAAAAGTTGCTTTTTGCACTCTTGTGGACACAAACACCCATCTTCAGGCAAAGGAAGAGGTAGACCTGCAGCTGTTGCTAGACTCTCCATCTGCCTGAAGACGGGTGTTTGTGCCTGCAAGCGATGTTCCCAACTATTTAGTTGGCCTAATAAAAGATGTCACATTTACCCAAAGAACCCTGCCTGATCTAGATATACATACACCCACCATATTGTGGTTTTATCTACAAAAGATAGACAATGTCTTTTTTAGGGTAAAAGCCAAAGTTACAGCCATATATATAACCTGTGCGTGTAGAAGTGTATATGTGTGTATACAAGGTTCTTTGGGTGATATCTTTTATTAGACCAACTTAAATAGTTAGAAAAACATTTTAAGCAAGCCTTCAGGTTTAAAAACCCTTCGTGAGGCTGAGGAAGTCTCTGTGGGTATATGCACAGAGTGTGTATGGTGGCTTTTAACTTGGGCTCCTCCCGCCTCGGACGCTCGCGGATGCGCGCAGGGGGTTCCCCCGGCCCACCCCCGGGAAGAAGCGCTGCTCTACCGCCCGCGGGCCGCCCCCACCGCTGCGCTTCACGGAGCCGCCCCGGCAGCCCCGCGCCCGCCCCACGGCAGCAATGGGGACAGAGCAGGCTCGACCGGCGCCCGGCCCGGTGCTGAAAACAGCGCCCGCGGCCCTACCCCACGTTCATGGCTCGCCGCGCCCTGCCGCCGCGCCGTAGACGCCCGTTGCTGCTAGCGCACAATGAGGCGGCAGGCGATAGGCGACGCCCCAGCCAATGGGCTGCTCGCGTACTGCGCTGCCGCCGCCGCGCAGGGCATTGTGGGGGCCGGGGCCGCGCTGCGGCCCGAGGGCGGGGCTTGAGGCGCTGCCCCGGGTGGTTCAAATCGGCCCCTGACAGAAGTGACCGTCGCTTCCTGGGTGCCTTACCACAGAACAAAGCTGTCCCTCGTGCTTCCAGTCAGACAGGAAGTGGGAGCCACGAAAGCCTGCCAAGAGCTGTGTTCCAGCTGCTCTAATATCACCTCTACCCAAAGGACCTCGCCTGAAAGCCAAGCTGGCACTTTCCTCTGGTCTAAATTGGTGTCTAGAGACTGACTGGTTCAGAGAGGCCTGAGCTTTAGTAGGCAACAACCTGTCTGGGCTAGTGCTGTCCCCATTTTACCTTGTGGCTTGGGGTCTACTGTGCTGCTCTGGTCACGAGGCTACCTTCAGTTCCCTCCAGGTAAACCATAAAAACCTCATTGTACCTATATACATGAAAGCTGCGTGCCCCCAGGGGCACAATGAGCTCCCACAGGCGGGAGCGTGGCATGGTGGCAGGAAGCTCACGCAGGCAGTGATGGTGCGGGATGGGGTGAGCGCCAACCACCTGCAGGCATCACCGGCAGTGTCAGTGGCACCTTTTCGCACGGGTTGCACCACCACACTCGGGGTGCACATGCACCCATGTGCACCTCCTACGCATTGCCAATGCCTGTGTATAGCCCCCCTGTAATTGGGGGCTCCATAGTCTTGACTTTTGGACCTGCAGGATTTTTCTGACTGGGACCAAAATATCAAGTCCTAAATGGTGTCAGTGCCTGGTTTTTTTCTAAGTATTTTCACAGAATCCTAGAGAAGTCAGGCTGGGCGGGACCTCCAGAGTGCAACCCCTTGTCCTGAGGCAGGATCATCCCTGTCCAAACCATTCTGTACAATACATCATCTAAGCTCTATGTAAGACTATTGTCAGCCCAGGCAGAACATGGACCTAACACCATAAACCTGCCACAGGTAAAGCAGGGGAACTGTGGCAGTGCATTTGGTGCTTTTAACTAGTTGTTTGATTCTCTTGTGGGAGTCTCTATCCATCCTTATCCGCTTGTGTTCAAGGAAAAAACCTGTCTTTCGTAAAATTAAATAAATGTGGGGGTGACTTGTATGCAGGCTAGATTTATAGTTGGAACATTATGGTATTGTTCCTCAAATTACTGGAAAAGGGAGGAATGTTACAGCAAATTCATAATACATATAAGTAAGCACTGAATTTAGAGTTTAGAGCAATTTTCTGTTTAGAGTTGAGCAGTTTTCCTCTGGTGAGTAATCCTGCTATGTTCATCTCCATGGGAATATGGTGCTAAAATTACTAAATCACTTAAGTGGTTTAAGTGGCCCTGCTTTAAACTTATCAGGCCACCCAGCCTGGTTGAGCCGTGTCTACAGGCCAGATTGGGCCAATAGACTCTCTCTGTTTGCCAGGTCCAGCACATGGGGCTGCTCTGGTGCGAGCATTACATGCGCCAGACTCAGACCTGCATGTGTGCAGGTCCTGTGTGGGTCCTGTACAGCGTGCATTGGATCTGGCCCTGTGTGCCACAGTCTGAAACCTAGGTATTGCACTGCAGGATGGATCCAGCACCTCCCCCCAGCTAGACCTTTCATACCCCTGACTTTGAGTATTCAATAGTGAAACAAGGGTCAGTGAATCAAGTGACATAACCAGGGATCCTGGTTTCCTCTGATTTAAAAATTGCAAATTCTCTGATTAAAAACTCAAAATCTGTGCTAAAAATTAAAGGCCCCCCACAGCCTCTCCTAGTGCTGCTGGTGACCCGCACTCCCCCTTCACAGCCTCAACAGCCCTCCTGATGCCCCTCGCAACAGCCCCCCAGACCCACAGACATGCAGATACTGACACCCACCCCAGCAGGTAAGTGTGTGTGGGGGGACGGGAAGGTGCTAGGGGAGTAGATCAAGAATGGGGGGGAGTGTGCCCAGGAGCAGGGCCAGGAGTGAGGGCAGGGGTGCCACTCCGTGGGCCACATGTGCTGGTCGGCCTGACAGGAGGTTCGCCACCGCAACTCTGCTACTGTGCCCTGTGCTACCATCCCATGGCCACCTGAATGGCTTTGTGGGCAAGTGGTGCAGGGCGTGGCAGCAGCAGTGCGGTGGCAACCACCGTGTGCAGGCCACATATGTGCCGCCCGGCTGGGGGGTGAAGTGGGGTGCTTGCATTCAGCGGCATGCCCTGCAACCAGTTGCACGGCTCCGTGGTGGTGTCTGCATGCAAGGTGGGGGGACTTTGTGAGCAAGCACTGCCACTGTGGAGCCATGCCCTTTGCCCCTAGATCCTAGAGGTAAGTGGGGCTTAGGGGCTGTGGGGCAGGCCTGGGGAAGATAGTTTGGGGGCTGAGGGAGCGGGGGTTGCCACCAGCCCTAGGTGGCACATCGCAGCTGCGAGCAGGGCCAGGGGGTGAGGGCAGGGGTGCCCCTCTGCTGGGGGCTTTGCAGGCAAGTGATGCAGGGCACAGTGTGGTGGTGCCCACGATGTGCAGCTGCACACGTGCCGCCTGGCCGGCTGCCTAGGGGAGGGGGCGATGGAGGCTGGCATGCAGCCGGAGCACAGCTCCATGGCCGACTCTGCAGCTGTGGCGAGGGATGAGGGGGGCAGGGGCTTGGGCTTGCACGTGGCGCTGCCGCTTACCTGGAGTCCTGTTATGACAGTGACAGCCGCTACCTCCAAAACCTCCCGCTGCCACCACAGAGCTCTGCCTGGAGCTGTGCGGCCGGGTGGCAGAGGCACCTTGGTGGTGGCTGGGTGGCATGCAGCCATCCCCACCACGACCCCGCACTGCGACACTGCCTCCGGCCACACAGCTCTGAGCACGGCTCCATGGCGGCAATGGGTGGTTTTGGAGGCAGAGGCAGTCACTGCTGGCATGGGTGGCCGCTGCCACTTGCCTGTGGGGCTGCCCGTGCCAGCAGTGACGGCTGCTGCGTACAAAACCTGCTGCCATCGTGGAGCCATGCTCAGAGCTGTGCGGCCAGCAGCTGTGGCTCGGCGTGGGGTTGTGGCCAGGCGGCACACAGCCATTCCCATCCCCACCACCACCCCGCACAGTGCCGCTGCTGCTGACCACACAGCTCTGAGCACGGCTCCACGGTGGCAGCAGGAGGTTTTGTATGCAGCAGCTGTCCATGCCAGCAGTGACTGCCTCTGCCTCCAAAACCTCCTGTTGCTGCCGTGGAGCTGTGCAGACAGAGGCAGCAGCATGGCACGAGGTGGTGGGGATGGCTGTGTGCTGTCCTGTCACTACCACGCTGGCGGCTGGCCATCACAGCTCCAGGCATGGCTCCGTGGCGGCAGCAGGAGGTTTTGGAGGTAGGGGCTGTCACTGCCATCACAGGCCTCCAGGTAAGCGGCAGCACCACGTGCAAGCCCAAGCTCCCCCTGCGCCCCTCATCCCTCACCGCAGCTGCAGAGCCGGCCACA